CAAGAAAGACATTGAGTTGCTGGAGCATGTCCAGAGAAGGGAAAGGAAGCTGTTGAAGTGTCTGGAGCACAGGCCTTATGAGGAGCGGCTGAGGGAACTGGGATTGTTTAGCTTAGAGAAGAGGAGGCTGAGGGGAGACCTCATGACTCTGCAACTACCTGAAAGGAGGTTGTAGTGAGGTGGGTGTTGGTCTCTTCTCCCATGTAGTTAGCGATAGGACGAGAGGAAATGGCCTCAAGCTGCATCAGGGGAGGTTTAGATTGGATATTAGGAAAAATTTCTTCATTGAAAGGGTAGTCAAGCATTGGAACAGGCTGCCTAGAGAGGATGGTGGAGTCACCATACCTGGAAGTGTTTAAAAAACGGGTAGATGTGGCACTTTGGGACATGGTTTAGTGGACGTGGTGGTGATGGGTTGATGATTGGACTGATGATCTTAGAGGTCCTTTCCAATCTTAATGATTCCTAGTTTTTACTTTCATTATAAATAATCCAGCCCCCAAGCCAGGCAACATGAAATTGCTACTATAACCTTAACTGGTTTAGTGGTGGACTTGGTAGTGTAGGTTAATGGTTGGACTGGATGATCTTAAAGATCTTTTCCAACCTAAACGATTCTATGAGAATATAATTTGTCAGAATAAACAACCCCTCTGCAGAGACTGTGGATCATGTCTTAACCAGAGTTAGGTGGAAGAAACATTTTATGTCATCTAGGAAGATGAGCCTATTTAGATGACTGCATTATATAAAGTGGCATAACCAATAATGTAGTTTCAGGTCCACTGCCTCAGATTTGTTCTGGTGGCAGGTACAGATTCCCCACCCCCACCCCCCCCCAGTCTGAAACCCCCCCCCCCCCCCAGTCTGAAATTTCGAAAAGTGTTATTTTTGCTTGCGTATATAAATCATATCATAACAACTTAGAATATCATATTCTTTGCCCATACTTGTTTATACCTGGATAATCCCAGTGTGGTCACAGAGTTTTAGAAGCAGTAGAGACAGCAGAGCTGAATTGGAAGTAGTGGAAGGTTTGGAGCCATATTCAGCAAAAATACTGATATAAGAGAACAACTGTCAATTTTGTTTGTCTTTTTTTGGCTTCATCCATTGTATTCCTTCCACATTCCCTAACATTTTAGGGGAAAAATAGTTGTGGAGAGCTCTAAGCCTTTTTTATGAGTGTCCAGCAAATTCTGCATTATCAGTGCAGAAAAGTGTAAGGGTTTAATTTGGTAGCTGAAATCAGCAGATTTATTCTGAACAGGTCTGAAGACCAGCATGGCTAAGAGAGAGGTCACAGTTTTTCACCAAGAATTGCACCACAAGAAGCGAAGGCAGGCATATTCTAGTGTCATCTTTTGGCATGTATATAACAACAAAACAAGATCAAGCTATTGAACACATTTGAATACGGGGTATTTGCTTTGCGTAGAATATCAAGTTGATCCATTAGCACTCATACTCCCATGCTTCATTATAGTGCATTGTCATGAGCATATGTGTTGTCCTGGTTATAACTGTAATAATATTACTATAGGTGAAGAGTTTCCAACTGTGACAAGGACACGTGTAGTTGGGGGCTTACCTCTAAGAAATTTGTTAGCTGAAACAGAGGGGGCGGTTTTGGCACTCACTATTTGGAAGACTGGAACGGATTGACAAAGACATATTGCCATTGGTTCTACACACTGCCCAAGTGATATTGCAGATATCATATAGGTGTTTGTTCAAGGTGAAAAAGAAAATTGTGTAATAGAACTATAAAATCATAGCTTTTGGTTTTTAAGGTTATTTGATGTAGTAGTTAATTTACGTTTCTAGGGTTAAATGAGAACTAGGTTCTGTGATTCTTTTTTTTTTTTTCTTTTTTTCCTTACTTAATTTGTCCCCTGTCCTCCCAGAAAATAGGCAGAACTTTGTAACTCTAAAGTTGTTATTGACTAGAGAGCAGAAGTTATATTGTGCCTTAAAAAGTGAACACCATTCACTCTGAAAATTTCTCTCTGGTGGAATTGTCTTTGTGCACTACAACTACATCAGGTTGTGTAACAGCAGTGTCCAGTCTGCATGTATTCATTGATGATGTAGTGTTTATGATATAAAAAATATGTATATAGAATACGAAGTGTAGTTGAATTTGTAGCCATACTGGGTGGAATCAATTTCCTTAGTTGTGTATATACACGGTTAAGTTTGTGTACTTTAAGTTGATAAATTTAAGAGAACTTTCATCCCTGAGTATTAGGTGGTACAATTACTAATACACCCATGGTAGCGATGAAGTATTGGTTCTAAGGAGGTACCTCTGCATTTTATAGTCTTTGTGCTCTCAACAACTCTTCATTTAATTAAAATACTGCTATCATAAAAACTGTAAGTACCTTTTCAAAAATTATTTTTCACTTATTGCATACTTCAGTCTCATGTTTGTGTTGTATGTTTCAAGTGTGTAAATTCTGCATGCTGAGCCCTGAATGTGTAGCTGTCTCACATCACTGTCAGTATTTGAGCTATTGTTTCTTAACTCACCAGTGTCTCCTCATTATGTACAGAACAGAAGTTGTGATGGTTCCAAAATGTGAGTTGCTCTGTTGAAGACAGGTTGCTCCACACATATCTGAAAATACAGGCTTAGAGGAAAACACTATGTGGCTTGTTAGCCAGGTCATCTTTAGGAAGCGCTTGCAGTAGTGGCTGAAATAACATTTGAAATGTCCTGGGAAAGCAGTGTTTTAAAGGAGAAACATAACTAAATGCTGGGTGTTTTATTGTGAAGGAAAGTATACCAGTTAAGTTGCAAACATTGGCCTAAAAAGATTACAAAATAATAAAAAGAACTAACGGGGCAGGATGGAGGAAAGAAGTGAATAGCATCATTGAAAGGTAAAAGTGTAACAAGCACTGTGATGGTGAGCACATTCTGGAATAGATACTAGAAAGTCTGAGTTGCTTACTGCTTATGAAGTTTGGCTATTTTATTTTTTTTCTTCTGAATCTCCAACTTCCTATAATCAAATTTCTGTGTTTTTGTAGGTGCAGAAGTATGCTCCAGCTAGCGAGGAGCATCTGTCTCCAGAGCTACAGGAATGGGCACCATATTCACCGAAACGGTCTGCTAGGCACAGTGAAGGCTTTGCGCCTGCCACCTTATACGCTGGCGGCATGTCAGCAGGTGAGTGGCAGAACTCATAGTTACTTTCTAGGAATGCCCCAAGGAATTTGTCCATAATGGACAATATTGGGGATTAGTTGTGATAAGTGCAGAACAAACATGACTCGCAAAACGTGTTTCCATGGTCTGTTGTAAACTTAACATGGTCTGCTCAGCTTTTAGACTGTAAAGAAGTGAAAGCTGTTTAAGAACCGTTAAGGAAACCGAGCAACTCCTGGCTGAAGGATTTGTGTTTCACCAGTTTCTGTGCAGAGGAGTTTTGAGTACATTAGTGGTGAACAAGGTGTAGCCTATACATTAGGGAGACAAGTAAGATTTCCAGTATTTTTGAAAGCAAAGAGTAAATGGAGGCGTCCCAAGCTTTAGATGCTTAACTTCTGAAATACTTCCAAGGAAAAAAGATCTAATGTTCAGAAAGTACAACATATTAAGTTCTGTCTATTGGAAATCAAATGCTTGGATTATCTTGAGTGCCCAAACTGGTTGTGATCTTAATCTAAATTAAAGTTTAAATGCCAGTGTATTTGAGATACTAAGCTGCTGACGAGGGGACTCACAAGCAGCTCTCACAGAAATCCTTATAATCAGTTAGCATGTTGTCTCAGTTGATCGGACAGTTGTTGATATTGAGGTTCATGTTAGCAGGTTTTAAATTGGTACAGACTAAATGGAGTGCTTCAGCAGCTAATTAGGGTATCATGTGCTAGTTGCTTAGAACTGGTCAAGGAGCATTTGCTTAGACCTGGTAAACTTGTTGCCAGATGGATTGTTCAGTCATTAGCGTAGCTACCTTCAGCACCTGCATACAAAACATTTTCAAATCAAGACAATATTGATTTTTATGTGTTTACCCTCAATTCTTTGGAAAGCCCCAAACTCCTGCATGTTCTAGAAATTATGGAAGACTTTCTTCTTCCTAGAGACCATGAAGGAGGTAATGACTTGTGTTCCTGGAGCAATGGACAGTTTCAAACCCTGTTGTCCCATTCAATTTTCAGAATATAAAGACGTGCTCAAGAGTAGCTCAGATCAAAAAGCTTTTGCTCTTCTTTGATTTCTTTTATTCTTTTCTGCCTCTCTCTCTTTTAATGATAGTAGAAAAAATATTAAAAGGTAGTATTTCTAACTAAAAGCTTTGTGTTATCATGATAACCTTTGCATAATAACCCAATCAATTCAACCCTGCATTCAGCAGTATGATTGTACGTCTTGAAATGTGAACAAGTTTTTGCAATTGTATTCTATGCTACCAACTCATGTAAGAGGAAATTGGTCAAATAGACTTGGGTTGAATCATAGAATAGTTTGGGTTGGAAGGGACCTTTAAAAGTCATCTAGTCCAACCCCCCTGTGATGAGCAGGGTTATCTTTAACCAGATCAGGTTGCTCAGAGCCCCGTCCAACCTGACCTTGAATGTTTCCAGGGATGGGGCATCTACCACCTCTCTCGGTAACCTGTGCCAGTGTTTCACCACCCTCACCGTAAAAAATGTCTTCCTTGTATCTAGTCTAAATCTTCCCTCTTTCCTTTTAAAACCATTACCCCTTGTCCTATTGCAACAGGGCCTGCTAAAAAGTTTGTTCCCATCTTTCTTATAAGCCCCCTTTAAGTACTGAAAGGCCGCAACAAGGTCTCCCTGGAGCCTTCTCTTCTCCAGGCTGAACAACCCCAACTCCCTCAGCCTGGCCTTGTAGGAGAGGTGCTCCAGCCCTCTGACCATTTTTGTGGCCCTCCTCTGGACCCACTTTAGCAGTTCCATGTCCTTCTTGTGCTGAGGGCCCCAGAGCTGGACGCAGGGCTCCAGGTGAGGTCTCACCAGAGCAGAGCAGAGGGGCAGAATCCCCTCCCTCGACCCGCTGGCCACGCTGCTTTTGGTGCAGCCCAGGATACGGATGGCCTTCTGGGCTGTGAGCGCACGTTGTTGACTCGTGTCCAGCTTTTCATCCACCAGTACCCCAAAGTCCTCCTCCACAGGGCTGCTCTCAATTGGTTGAGTACTGAAGGATGAGTGTACTTAAAAAACCAGCTTGAGTAATAAGTTTCACAAATAAATATTGAAGTACTATAATTTAAAGTCATAGGACACACTAGAAGTGGGAATCTTTGAGGCAACAGAAGAGGAACAAGAATCATTTTAGCCGCAGTCAGTTCAGGTACCAAATAAAAACTTGTGTTTCTGTCAGGTGACTATTCAGAGAGAAAGGCAGAATTTTTGTTGCTGTATAAAAAAGGTTCATACTTGAAAACAGAAAATCTTTTAGCTACCAGCGCATACTGTGAATGACTTAAATTTTTGGTAATCTAATCCACTTTATTACTGACTCATTACAAAATTACAATCCAGATTTTAAATATGTATGTACTACTTAAAAGTTGACATGTGGTGCTTAATAATGTATTTGTCTGTATGCTAATACTTTTTAATTATAGATACATGTTCATACATGCAAATGTTATAATACATAATTTTATAAATGGTTGAATGTATTTAAAATCTGTAGTTTATATGCTAATAATGTTGGTAAGAATGTGTTTTTATCATCTGAAGCAGGTACTGTACCAAGAAGCTTAGCACCATGCCCTGCAGTAACGGCTGGCATGAGAAATCCAATCTATACTGCCTGGAGCCATAGAGTTCACACCAGCAATTGTCCATCAGTCGCCAGCCAGATATGCCATCAGCATCTGCATCCCAGGTGTTTTGAAATTTATCTCTCCTTAAATTTTTGTTTTCATTAGGATGAAATTGCTTCTGGTTTTTGTATACAGTGTGGAGTGAAATGCACTGCTGTCGTGTTATTTTGACCTAGGGTTCTCAAAACCATTTTTGCGTAGAAGTGATCTGCCAGTTGCTTTCATGTCTTTTGGTAACTGATGGATTAGGTTTCCCTCTGCTCCGCTGGCTGATATTGACAAAGAAATTTATTTTTTTAATGAACTAATTTCTAATGTTTTTTCTTGTCCTTGCCAAAACAAATAAAGCCTTCCCCCCTTTTTTTATAGCACTTTAGGCTATCTTTCCTCTGACTTACTCTTAATTCATAAAATGATGGGACAATTGGGAAGTAGGAAGGAGAGGAGCATTCATTTTATTCAGTAACTCAGGGATAACCAAAATTTTTTGTTGGCCAATTTGCTATTTGCTGAGGTGCTTTGCCCAGTTCTAACTGTTGCCCTGTTCTCCTTTCTTTTGATGTAGTTCCCAGCATCAAGGTCGCCTGAGTTTGGACCTAAGTCATAAACTCTCCAATGACTACTCTGAAAATTCACGTACAAGAGCGTCTCATGGCTCAAATTCATTACCATCCAGTGCAAGACTTGGTAACTAGCTGTTCTGATTTATTTCTTGTGGGACTCCTGTATATTGGAGACAAAGAATAAATGGAAAATTCCTTAAGTACATGTGTTACAGGATTGTCACAGCTAGCAAAGCCTAAAGGCTTCCTGTGTTTCTTTGCTTCATTTTTTGTGGTTTTATGACTAAAGGTGTTCCCTGGAAGTAGTTGTGTTTAATTCATTCTTTACAGTCTCTTTAAAATGTGCTCTCTGTGTGTGTGATTCTCCTTTCCATGCATGTTACTGTTTGAAAGTACCCTTATAAAGATGAGAGGCCCAGCCAAAGTATTTTTGAGGTTCAGTGAGGTGGAGAGAAGAAGAGAAAAGGAGAAAGCCCCCAGAACAAAAAATCTAGGGTGACTAATGGCCTAATATAAATTGTGTTGTTGGAAGATGTTACACTTATGTTTATTTGATCGACATGTAAGATTGTTTATGCCTATCCTACTAATACCAAAGCAAATGCATGCTTTGTAGCAATAACATTTTAACATTTTAGAATTTATTAAAATTTTAAATTATTTAATAACTTTTTTGTGCATGTTTGTGTTCCTGTGTTCCATCGATGATTGGCAGTTGTATCTGAATAGAGCATGGCAGCTTCGTAACCACAGCAAAAAATGGCATAACGGTTTGCAAACAGTGTCAAAAAATGATGTATTCATCCAGGCAGAATGTAATCAGAGTATTTTAAATGCCTTTTGGAAAGTCCCATGGATTCTTAGTAAACAGAGATGTTAGATTCTTGCTTGGACTTCAAGTTAAATTTCATTTGATTGAAAAATATTCAAAATATTTTTCATACAAGAATGAACAGTGTGTATATACAGTATAGCAGTATTCTGACTGTGTAATCAAGACAATTTACTAGAAATACGATATACACAATATATACGAGGGTAATCATCAAAGCTTGTGCGTAAATTCAGAGGCCATTTTAATGGTCATTGAAGAAGTAGAATCTAAATGTACTTTTTTGTTCAATGTAGTTGCTTTTACTTTCATCATTGTAATGTTTTCTTGTTGTAAAAATAGGTTCTTCGAGTAACTTGCAATACAGAACAGAACGAATTAAGATCCCTTTAACACCAAGATATCCAAGGTCCATGATGGGCTCTGACAGAGGTGAATTATTTCATAAGTAATTTTAGTCATACTATTTTCAGTGTTACCAATCCAAAGCCTTTGCAGTTCTTAAATCAGGCTGTGCCAAAATCTAAATATGGCAGTTTTATTAAAGTTACAAAATTTGCATTTTGGCACAGAAAGGTAAAAAAAGGAAACATTCTAATGAAAGTTGTTTCTGTTAGTTGACTCTAGGAAGTGGCATACTAAGAAAAAGTGCACAAAAAATGTAAGAATAAGCATTGCTGTATGTTTTACAGTTGTAGTCTTCTTCTAGAATGATGTCTTAAAAGTTTTAACATTGAGATGGCCTGCATTATTTTTTTGATTTTTTTAAAGGGTTTTTTTTTTTGCATATTATGGTATTACTGATTGTGAATTATATTTTGAAATGCAGTGAAAATATTTTAGTACTTCACTCAAAATTGCTTGGTGGAGGGTATTTAAAGACATGAAACAAATACCAGCTGGCATGCTGGAGAGCTGTAGAATTCGGAGTTCGACGACAGTGAGCGGCAACTCTTTGCTGCCATTATTGCCCAAATGTTCTGTAGCCTTAATGGATTGTATGCAGTGGTTTTCCTAACTGGGCATATGCAATTCTTACAAATGGCTTTCATTTGTGATTAGTAATTTGATATTTATTTTCTGTAGCTTTGTCAGAGGAAGCAAACTGAATGTTTCTGTCAGGGCGCTTGTTCAGTAAATTTCTCAGGGAGGGTACAACCAGGGAAGAGATGCAAATAAAGCCATGTCAAGATTGGTTGAAATTGCAGAGCTTTCCTGTCTCTGTGTATGATTCATGCTGGGGTTTCTTTGGTGTTTTCAGATGTTTCATAATGTATCCCTTACCCAAAGGAAAGGGCTGTACATAAATATTTTATCTGAAAATAAACCTACATATATTTATTTTATTTCTCCTTTCCTGTTTTTTATTATTTTTCTTTAACTTTGCGTTGCTAAGTGTTTTCAGACATGCATATGGTGTAGCTTGTCTGTAACCTTCTCTCCTTGTTGAGAATGGCAGTAGTTGTATGCACACTTAGAGAGGACAGATTTGATATATGGTCATTAAGGACAGTAAGTTTGCACTGTCTGAAACCAGTTACCTGGTCTCCCTAAGCTCCTTTCATGGTTAATGGAGTCCTAGTGAACACTCGGTCCTCTTTCTTGTCTCAGATGTGTATGGTGTCTTTCACTATGTCTGTGTAGATCTCCAAACTATGACAGATGCAGGATACTAAAACTCAACTGTTGATTTTTCCTAGGCTCCTTGTCACACTCTGAATGTAGCAGTCCCAGCTTGATAACTCCTCCACAATCACCTCTTAACTTGGAAACGTCTTCCTTCGCCAGCAGCCAGTCTCAGAACTCCCTTTCTACGTTACCTAGGATTTCCATTAGCCCAGTATCTGTTGGAGAACGTAGAAAAGATAGGTAAGGTCCCCGCATTATTTGCTTTTAATACAAATGTGTCTGAGGAAATTGTGTACATTTGTTTATTGGTCTGAAGGAGTGTGAACATTTAATTTAAATGACAAATATGTAGGCACAGAGGTACATCTCAGGTCCCGTTACTCAATGTTTATATTTTCTTTACGAAGTATGTAAGAGATCTTTGTGTGCATTTTTTCTTCAAAACCAAAGAATAGATTGTTGAGTTTAGAAAATTAATGAATTCATAAGGGTTTTATTTCTTCCATGTTAGATTAATGGCCATACCAAATAAGAGCAGTCTAAATTGGAATACACCCCTTCAGCTGAACTACCTCAGATGCTTGTTTATGATAGGCTTGCTCTGTATTCTGGAAAACTTAAAAAAAAAAGAAGACGTAGTAACACCTGATAGCTAAATATCAGGTGCCTTAGTGTTGTGGAGTATGTGCTCTAACCACTGTGCCTTGATTCAATTTAGCCAGATAACATGAAAAATTGAGGGTATACCTGTGCAAGAAAGTATCCATGTGTACAGATGTAGTTTTACTACTCAGACTGATCCCTTTGGCTGTACCTGGACCGCTGCTAGCAATAGCATTAAGTATATGTGTAGCTGCTAGCAGATTTGATCCTGGTATGATAGCTTTCTTAAAAACATGAGCTTTGTGTTTAACAACTTTCTGCATCTCATGATGATTATTTTCAAGATACGCTGCTTATGGTATCAGTCTAGGACATCTGATTTAATTTTATCATGACCTGGCTAGACTGTATATATGAAAAAGTTTGCATGAATTCAAAGCATTGTACAGTAAGACACAAATCTGAATTGGCCTTCTATTTATAGAAGGCAGCCAAATGCCATTCTGGCAGTGTAAAGGAGCTATGATGTGTTGGAATTGATTACATCAAGACCTCTTTGTATTGCTTGATTTATGTAAAAGGACTGACCATAAAAATGTGAATGATAAAATAATAAGGATATTCTGTATTCTAAGTTTTCTGGTAGTAATAAAAAGTTATTCATAAAATGTTACATGAAACTTTTGTCTCGTTCAAAGAATCGGTAACTAAGTTATTGTAGTAACTCTAGACTGTATATTGTGTACAAAGGACAGTGTTACTTTGAAAGGGAATATAAAGAGGTTTTTGTGATTTTTTTCGTTCTTTCTTTCTTCAGTGTGACTCTTGTACTATGTGTACTCAATTTGTGTTCTCGTATAAATGTTCCTCTAATTGTCACTTGCAAATTTAAAGTCAGAAGTTCTTTTCTCTTTCACATGACTAATGATGTATAATGCTCAGCTGAAAAAGCTAGGTTTTTTACACCCCTATAACTTTGTATCTCTGAGCACAAGATCCATGTTCTGATCTCTGGGAAATAACAGTTTCTGTTAATGTTGATTAGATGGTTGAAGTACAGTCAGGTTCCAGCCCCTTTACCCTTGCTGTCCATATGTATAAACCACAGACTGAATTGACTTTCTAAAAAGAATATAATTCTCAATTTTGTTTTGTTTTGTTTTTAAGAAGCAAACCAAAAACTAACAAACACAAACAGTTCTTAATTTAGGGAAGTAGCTAATTTAAGTCTATCCTGAGAAAATGTTTTAAGATGTCTAGATAGCATTTTAAATGCTCGTTTGGTCTTACAACTCTTTCTGTTCCCCACAAAGTATAAGTAACTCACTTGGCCTTTCTCCAGATAAAAATAATAATAATACAGATGGAAAAAAAAAAAAAATCAATGTTTCTGTTCGTTCTGTTGATTTTAATTTAAACGCAAATTAAAAGATCTGATCAATTAAGACTTTTTTCTAATCAGTGTTTAGTGATTCTGGCAGGCAGTCTGAATGTTATAGAAGAGTGTGCTTCACTTGATTTTAATAACACTGCTTATCAAGTAAGACACCTTTTGAATGTTATCATTCTGTTTTACTTTATTATTGATTCTCTACTACACGCATTACTAGTTATCTTTCATTTTGTATTTACTAGAATTCTAAGATATGATTCTGTGCAATTTGTATGGGTTTGATTCCTTTTTTATTCCAATCCAAAACAAAGAAAACAAATTTAACAATGCATGTGGTAGGTGGAAAAGCAGAAAGGGAAAGAAAATTAAATGAAAGAAATGAAGTTCAGAAAGATGTAATTTTAGTTTTTAATGAGGTAGTATGACTTGATAAATTTTGTGATATTAAGAAGCTTCATATAGCTTCATATCATGGTTTACGTGTTCATAATGAGTGAAAAAAAAAGTTCATAAGTTGCAGTTTTCTGGGAGTTAGCACAGTTTAGTTAAGATATGCAACATACAAAAAATGTGGGCTTCAGTTTAACTTTGCTGGTAGTAAACGTACCTTATCTTCATTACATTGATAGCCAAGCTCTGAGGGCATTATCTCTAAACAGTGATGTTGATGTTACAAGGTTACTGGGTTCCAGAGTTGTATTCGTATCAGCAGCCAGTTTTTATCTTTTAAGCATTAATAAGCTGGCAAACTGTTATGCCCCTGCTGCAGAAGGCTACCAAATAGTTACCTTCAAAGACTGTGGCAATAAGCATAATTTATGAAATGATGTCCCTTCCCTCTGCCGCCAACCCCAAAACCTACTCTTGCCCAAAATATCTTTCCTCAGCCTGGCTCACATTAGTAGCAGTGAGTGAAGTCCAGTTAACTCATCTGGTCTCTGAACAGCACAATTAAAATAGTTTAAGTAGTTGGCAGAATTTGGAGAATGTCTATATGGTATAATGAAATGTTAGGAAAGACAACATTCAAATTAATGCATGTCAAATGTAATATAATGCTATTAAAATAAAAAATACACCACACCTGGTACCCAAGCTGTTTCATTCAGAACGAGCTCAACTGTTAATATCTGGTGATGCCTTTTGCTGTGTAGACGTTATTAAGTTCATAGTAACATGAACAGGCACTTTTTAGGAGCCTACTGTTTATACACACCATGAAGAGACCGGCCCTGTTTGTACAGGTGGATACGTCCTAACTGTGGTGGGAGGAAAGGGAAATGAATCAGGGTTTTCTTTTGTATAAGCCATTCTCTTGTTATACTTAACTAGTGTCTTACTATTGTGTGTCTTTTATTAAGTGTTCTTTTCTTCTCAAATCTTCTACATCTTTCAGATATCTGTTCCGTAATAGGTCTTTTCTGAGAATCCCTGTGGCTCCTAGGCCTAGGTTCTCATCACTAAGGAGTTTGAGGTTGGCCTGATATAAGGTTCTCCTTCTCGAGCAGTATTGCGCACTTTGTGCTATTGTACATGTTTGGATAATTGCCCTGAGGAGAATTTGCATGGTAATTGTAATGCTACCATGCAAACTGCTGTCTTAATGGCTTGAGTTTGCAACTGCTTAATTTTCATTACTAATTTATGTTTTTTTGCATACAAATATGAAATCCGATACTTGTGCATTGTTGTCCTTTGGTTTACCACCTTATTATTTATGATGTTTATTTTCACTGGCAATGAAGACTCCCAGCATTTATATTTGTAACATACTTTTCTGGAATATGGTTTGTAAATGACATATTATATACAGTGGTTCAATTACTTTTATATAATATGCATCTGGAAGCTTCTTTCCTACCGGCTTCACCACCATACTATTTATAATTCATATTTACTGTAATGTTTTGGAGCAGTCATGTACCTGGTATACATTTACTTCTGCCACTGTACATTGCATGATCTTCAAGGAATGCATTTAAGACAGTTGAGAGTAAATTTTTTTAAAGTATCTGTTTAAACCTATTGTATTATTACAGTTCAGACAGACATAAAGTATTGCATGTAACTTTGACATTGTGATGGTTCAAGTGCAATTTTGTCCAAATCAGTTTTAACTATCTCCTCTAAAAGGCCCTACATGGAAGAGCCACGTCATGTTAAAGTGCAGAAGGGTTCTGAGCCACTAGGGATTTCCATTGTGAGCGGAGAAAATGGTGGAATATTTGTCTCTAAAGTAACAGGTGGGAGCATTGCCCATCAAGCTGGCCTTGAGTATGGTGATCAGTTACTAGAGGTAATTGTTTGCTTACTATTCCTGTGGCTTAATGAATCAGTTCATATGACTCCAGCCATAACTGCCTTCCCCAAAAGATTATCTTGTGAAAGCTTGTGTGCTGTGAGATGTAGCAAAGCGTATTCTCTATTGTAATATTCCCGTAATTGTGATTGTTGTGACTTTTTGTCAGGCTTTATCATAAAATAATGTCTTTTGATGGTAGATCTGCATTGCATCTTAGATAGATATAATTAAATTTTAAGCTAGCTAGTTTTGGTACTTAAACAATATAGTCCCAACCATACTGTGCCTGATAAGGTGAGTAAATATTCAAGCAGCTGGCTTGTACTGAGTTTCGTGCTGCTGTTGCTGTGCCATATCCTTACCTGAGATACCTTGTTTAAAAATACTCAGGTAGGCTTTAGATTAGCTACAGTCATGTTTTTGCCTACAGTATTAGATAAGTGTGCAGAGGAGCATTTTGTAAAGTACCGAGCTGCTTTGTAAATGTTAGAACTGTTCATACTTATGCATGTTAAAGCATCTTCTGTTGCACAGCGTGTGGATGATACTACAATGGACCTGAATGAATCATGGATCTGAATTTATCTTTAAATCCTGAATTTATTCAGATCGGTGATCTGAACCAACTTGTATTTAATCAGTGATATCAAATCATAACACAGGTCAGAACATATATGTCTTTCATATATAGTAAAAAGATTTTTAAACTCATGGTCAGGTTACCAAATATTTTAAATTACAGTGATTTTTTCCAAGGAGTAAATCCTAGGAATCATTGTATAACAGCATTCCCATCCTCCTATTTACCCCAGTGGAAATAAGTCAGCATTTAGACATTAAACTAATTAGGAGACTGAAAGGCTGATTTTGCTAGTTTCCATCTGAAAACTTGACATCATGGTTTGTGCATTTTTCTTTTTCTGTAGTTTAATGGAATAAATTTGAGAAATGCTACAGAACAACAGGCTCGACTAATCATTGGACAGCAGTGCGACACCATTACTATTCTGGCTCAGTATAACCCACATATGTATCAGCTTGGCAATCATTCACGATCAAGGTAAGGCTAGCTATACTTTGCAAAAACTACTCTCTGGTCCATGCAGTTACTTAGCTAGTCGATAACTTCTGTACAGGTAACATGTTTGCAAACATCAGCACATTTGTGCTGATAAGAAGTGGGATTGCTTAGAAAAGTAATTTGTGAATACATGCTTGTTGAAAAGAAAAGAAAAATGCTTGATGCACTTACTATATTTTCTTTCTTATTTAGGCATAATCCTTAGATACATTAAACTAAAACCAAGGATGACTTCTTCCTAGGATTATGAGTAGTACTTCAAATAATTTTAAACTTTTTTTTATAGTTGGAGTTTCCAAAAACTAATTAGAGAATGCATATGACCTAGTGAAATTATCCATCCCGTTTTGATGCATGGTCACACTTCAAAACTGAACTTTATCTTTCTTTTAGACTTACGGTGAACATATGTTATTTGGCATATTGTTTTGGTGGCCTTTTTTTTCCCCCTTACTTTATACTTGATTTACGTCCAAATTAAAAACTTTGTCTGCATGGAAAATATTTGGCATTGGTGAAACACTAACCCAGCAGTATTTTATTCTTTCTTCCCCCCTGCCCCTGCTTTAGTTCTCACCTAGAACCTGTGAGTAATCATTCCACCCCTCAAGGCAGTGGAGCTGCAACACCTGACAATCATTCTGTAATAGATACTGTGAGTGAACAGGATGAAGGAACAATGACACCCCCATCCAAACAAACCACTCCAACTACAAGTCCCCGGAATTCCTTAAGGTAGAGGAGTAAAATTTTTGCCTTAAGGAATAAAAGTGGTCATGGTGGATATGAAGGGTATTAAAAACCAAAATGTATTTCTGCGAATGCTGTGTCTGGTTGGAATAAGTCAGCAGACGAGTTAAGTGGACCCCAGGATAAAAGTACATGTTTTCAGGCTGTTTTTGAAAGATGGGGTCTGCAAGGAGTGAAGAAACTTTACTACAAGATTGGTTTAGTTAGGTCTGCAAGGAACATGATGTTTGTCTTATAAGACTGTATCTGTAGGTGACCTATTTTGAATAATAATTATGTAAAGACATATTCTTCAGATGGTTAGCTGACTGTATGTAATGCAAGTTTTTAAACTGAAGTACATGTGTTATTTTTCTCTGTCAAAAGGAGCCCTGTGGACACAAACAAAAGGACCCCTGAACCTAGAACTGTTGTTGTTAAAAAATCCCAAGTGGATCTTGGGATCCAAATATGTGGTGGAAACCTGTATGGAATATTTGTCTCAGATGTAGATGATGATAGCCCAGCAAAAGGACCTGATGGACTAGTCTTGGGTGACATGATACTTGAGGTAGGCTATTAAGAAAAGGCTGCAGCGTACTGAGAAAATGTCTAGGATGGTATAAAGAGGGAGATGTACAAAGAATCATGCTGTCTCGCAATGGGAGACGTTCTGTGAATCTTGAGTTCCTGCCACAGAACCTGGGTAAGAACGGTGAGAATGCATAACCTTCATTCTGGCCGCGATGCACGAAGAGCTAAATGATCTGGACCTGGAGAACCACCACTGTTGAGAGCACAAGTTTGAAGGACTAATGTATGTCTGCTTGGAACTATGAGCACCTGCTCTCTTCATCTAAATAGGAGGCCTTGAATCCAATTGCTGTACATAAGAAAGGGAAGGATATGAAAGATACTGCAAAATGGAGAAAAATATTGATCTCCTCACTATGAAATTCTAATGAGAGCTTAGGGAAAGCCATGCAATAAGTCTTTGACTCTGCTTTCTATATCTGAAACGAGAATATTTATCTACTTGGCAGGACAGTTAAGGTGATAAACCCGTATGTGTGTACGAGCTTTTCACATAAAACTAGGCGTTGAGACTGAGCACTGAGACGCTCCCATTGCGCCTCAGGTATCCAGATGGAGATTTTGCTTTGTAATTGTGTTTCTGACTTCCCTCAGACCACTTGCTTTCCTGAAAAATACTAAATTCTTCCCACCGTGAATTTTATGATTCTCAGCTTGCACTTTGAAAACTATTTAAAGAAGTGCAGGCTCTCCCTCACGGTGCATGTCTTCTGTGTTCACCTGGGTATTTTGTTTTCTTACCCCCATGTTTCAATCTCCTGCTAGACATATTAAGGTGCAAACTGTACTAGAGTTAAGTGATTTACTTGTATATAGAGCCTGCCAGTGGGGAAAAACAAACTTACTTTGCATGTTTTTCAAGCTCGCCTAATTCTGTTGCCTGTTAAGGTGCAATTTCACACATAAAGGTTTCTGTGTTTTGTGTTTTGCAGTATGGGTCCATTGATATGCGAAATAAAACAGCTGAGGAAGCTTATCTTGAAATGTTGAAGCCTGGAGAAAACATCAAAATAAAGACTCAATACAGAATAGAAGAGTTTACTAAGATAAAAGAGCTTCCTGGAGATGGATTCTATATCAGGTATTTGAGCATGACTGGTAATGACAGCATAAGGCTGTTAGGGTAATACGCTGATCATCATGAGAGAAATAGTACATCAGTTTTACCACATCTTTTAAATTCATAGTTTACTAATTTATCCCAGCTAGTCTCTGACAGTGAGTACACAGTCTGTAGCATAGTAAGTCTGCACGTTTGGCAGTAAACTTGTGTGGTCTTGAAATGTAGAGTATGCCACTAAACTGTTTTGAAAAAAAGTGTGCAAGTTCTTTCCGTGAGTTGATGGAGACCAGTTGCAGAGCCTATTTATGTCTTCCTTTCCAGAGCACTTTATGACCGTCTGGCAGAGGTGGAACAGGATTTAAGCTTTAAGAAGGATGATATTTTGTATGTTGATGACACTCTGCCACAGGGAAACTTTGGTTGCTGGATGGCTTGGCAGCTAGATGAGAATGCTCAGAAGCTGGAAAGAGGACAAATTCCAAGTAAATATATGTGAGTAACCTCAGTTACAGTATTTATCTTAGAGTCTTTAAAAGTCTGACTAGTGAGATGTGGTATAAAAGACTTGTTTGCTTCTATTCTTTCTAGGAGATACTAATTCTTAGACATGTCATTTTAGGGATGGAGTATTTTAATAACATTGAATTAAAGGTATTGCTCTATCAAGTTGTTTTTAATGCTACTAAATACAAAACTAGAAATGGAAATGATACATAGACGAGTGTTGTGATAGATAATTCAATAACAAAAGTGAGACTAACCACAGCAAAAATATCCTTGAATCCAAGGTTATCCCAGACATTCTTGAGAAGCACCAGTGGTTTTAGTTATTGGTGGACAGCAGCGTTATTATAACACTGTGTATCCACCACAATCTCATAATGTTGGTAGAGCAGTTAAGAGGAGTATGCAGGAACTAAAATTTTTGCATTGTTACTGAAATCGCATTAGTTATCAGTGATTAAAATATTTTTTACATTTTAAGATTACTGTTTTTTTGGTTTCCTTTTCTTCTAATAGTCTCTCTCCATGTCATAACTCAAAATTCATCCTGACAGTGGGACAATGGTACTACATGGAATATGTGGAAGTACAATATATACATACAGACCCATACACATCATTGATAAGCTTGTTACTGGAAGATGGATAGTAAAACCAGCGACATTTCACGTGTGTTATGTGGCCAAAATATTTGTGCTCCTATAAAATAGAACTGCATGAAATAAAACTCTTATTTTAGATTGCTGATAAGTTATTTGTAAGGATAAGTATAACATGCAGATTCATAGAAAGGATGGGATCTTCACTTCTGTGCGAGGCTGACTTTACTGGCAAGCAGGTGCATACTGGTGCTTCTGCCTTGGAGATTTTTGCCCTGCCTGTCAGAGTGGTCACCCTCTGTGACATGCTGCTATTTATAAGAATCCTGAGGAAATGATGGTAGGGTGAGGTTTTCAGATGTTTATTATTTGATTTATGTTAATGTTTGTTTCTGATTAATTTTCCGTGATGAAGATACTTGGGCTAAGGCTTGAGATGAGCATTTCCAGTGTGTTCCAGAAGCAGCAGTGATATAGTTTGTCAAAAAAAAATTGTAAAGATAAGTTTTTAAATACCAACCATTTAGTCTGTTTCATTGTAGGATGGATCAGGAATTCTACAGGAGACACAGCATGTCTGAGGCTAAAGATGAAAACAGCTCATCTAAGACATTGTCAGCAGCAGCACGGAGGTCATTCTTCAGAAGAAAGCATAAACACAAGCGAAGTGGTTCCAAAGATGGAAAGGATTTACTGGCTCTTGATACAATCAGTACAGACTCAATCCCTTTCTTGGATGGCAAGTACCTTTGTTATACTTGGGACGGGGTTGCCTTTCCTTCTCTTTCGTTTTTAAACAGCTGCAGCATGACACAACAAATAATGTTACTTTCTGGTTGGTCTGAATACGAATGGTGATCGTATGTCCCATCACATGCATAACTCTTAATAACAAAAATTTTTTTATTTTAAATAACAAGCCAAAGTGTTTCAAACTATTTTTTTTTTTGGTAGTTTACTCCTGAATCTAGTAGCATTATTATTTCATTTGCAGAGGGAGATTGCTTTTTGATGCATGGTTTTGATTTTTCTTTCAACTATTTAATTTCTATCCGGGTCTCTTAGTCTAGACAGAAATCCAGATCACCACTTAAAAATCTTCACTTCTGTTTCTTCACTTATCTACAAAAATCACATTGGTTACATTGCTTACTTCCTTGGAAGAGCTCAACAAACCAGAGAAACCAAATACCTTGTCTTCTTTACACTTTTAGGAAAAAACAGGAACAATTGCTTTTAAAGTTTTGGTGGTTCTCCCATGCCACCCTCACCTGGCTCAATTAAAAAAACGAATGTTTTAGGCTGTCAAGTGGAGAAAATTGCAATAATGGCTAGTGAGCATTTTTTGTACTTGTCAAGGCCCTTATGCCTTGCATGGGGGTTGTTTTCAGAATTACTTTTAGGGTGCTTCTACTTATCTGAGGAATGCCAGGAAAATAATTCATACTTTCATAAGTAAATCTTCTGTGTGTGTAGATTCTGCAAGCCTGGCATATCAGCGTGTACAGAAAGTGGACTGTACCTCTCCTAGGCCTGTGCTTATTCTAGGACCTTTACTTGATGCTGTGAAAGACATGTTGGTCAAAGAATCCCCTGGAAAATTTTGCAGATGTCCTCTTGGTAAGTATGCAAATATAACCAATTTATTCTTGCTTAGAGTACATGATAGTAACATCTATGTAAGTGGACTAAATAGTAGCACAAACATGAAAAAACCTCCAAGAACCTGAATTTGCAGACATTGTTTCATTAGCCTTGTTCTGTGCCTAAGGAATAGTAATGAAAGTGGATCTCTTCTGGTTCTATGAAACAGAGGTTATGAAAGCTTCCCAGCAAGCCATTGAACGGGGTGTGAAGGATTGTCTGTTTATTGATTATAAACGGAGGAGTGGACATTTTGATGTGACAACGGTAGCTTCAATAAAAGAGATAACAGAAAAGGTGAGTCACTTCTAATGCGGTAGTTCTTTGTACAGTTTGCAATATATGGTCATACTATGTTGGGGGCGGGGTGGAAATTATGTTAACATTGTCCATCTCTAAGGCATTCAGAGAATTGTTCCCCGGGCCGCTGAGTAAAGTAAAAGTTACATCACTTTGGCATGTAACTGTTTAAAGATTATTTTATGCAAGCTTACCTATGTAGAAACTAGGAATGTCCATATTCTTTTACAGTATTATTAAATAAAGGTAGAAATTATTTTCATAGATTCCATCCTCTACCACCCCCCCACCCCCCACAAAATGAGGATTTAGGGTTTTTAACTATTCCATTTAGTGCAGTCATATAGAACATAAACATCATAATAATCCTGGAGACAGGTGTTAATTAAAATCTGTACATTGCTTATAGGTTTCTGTCAGACCACACAGAAAGTCTTATTACTTTAATGCTTGTGTTTGCTTATGACTTCTGAAAGAGAAAATGAATATGAATATTCAAATTTGGAAAAAATGTATTGCATATATTTCAATCTGAGTTTTCATTTCATTAGTTCTTCAAATACTTTTATTTCTACCAATGCATGCTTTTGGTACTATGAATGGAATTTCTTGCAGTTTTTCATCTTCTGTCTTTTGTTATAAATCTTTTGGGTACAAATTGCTCAGTAGCCCCAAAATGCTAAATGTGTAGCAAAATTCTGTTGGGTTGCTATGATTTAAGTAGGGGAAGAAATGGGGGATTTGCATGTGTGCTTGTGCTCTTTAACTGAATGAGTGTTTTGCATTTACATTTGATCTTAGGATTGTCATTGTCTGCTTGACATCGCTCCTCATGCCATCGAACGGCTCCACAGTGTTCATATCTACCCTATTGTAATTTTTATTCGCTACAAAAATGCTAAACAAATCAAGTAAGTCTGTGAGGGGTATAGTTCAGGGATGTTTATTTTAGCTTAAAATAAGCTTGTTACCTTTATTGTTTCTTTCATCCTAGTCATCTTAAATATCTTTTTAAATGTGGAAATGAATCCTCATAAAAAATGTTATGAGGTAAATTGTCTTAACTTCATTTTGGTTGCATGACAATTAAGTGAATCTTTTGGAGAAGTCAAAGAATGTAGACTAAACTGTATGTACTCCAGGAGGCACGCAGATCTTTCCTGCTCACCTTTGTATTAAACTGTAAGACAGATATGGGCGAGATCATTGAGGATTAAGTGGTGACTGTGAGAAAGAGCTATTCTTCGTCTTCTCAGCGGGGCCAAGTGTGTGGATGCAGTGCCAACTGATTCGTAACCTCAACTTTCCCACCTTCATTCTCCAGTGAAAACAGCAAGGGAAGTCCCCTTTTGCCATGGAGCATATATGCTGTGGTCTTCTTGGACCATGCTTTTTCAGTAGTTGGGAATTTCCTGCTCAAATATAGCCGGGAACAGAACGTGGGAGTTACAAACCCCAGTCCCTCCCCTAATGTTTGAGTACATTCACACATTTTGATAGATTGATTTGGCAAGATGTGGCATAACCTCCCAACGTAAGTATTAAGAAACAGTTTTGTTGAGAGATCTTATACTTGTGCTATCTTCATTTTGAAAGTTGAAGACTTCTTATATTCTTGATCTGTAAGTAAATTTGATGACTATCTTTTTAATAGAGAAGATAAGTATCACCACTTTCAAGTAGAAGCAAGTCATACAGCAAGGTGGTGTATTTCATTACCACTGTAGGATCATGCACTTGGATGGTAGATGGAACTGTCATGTCTTGAGCCCCTTTGGAAGTGGAATGGTGATCATTACAGCTATTTCCTTTTTTTGGAAAGTGACAGAGAGCAGTTGTACTTGACAAGCAAGGATTTCTAGCAGTCATCAAAATAAGATGCAGTGGCACATTGTCTCTGCCTGTTATGAGCACCAAAGGTTTTTTAAACAGCCTTTTGGATATAGCACAGGTTCTGTTGGCATTCTCTGGAATGCTATACAGCAGTGATAGGTTAGTTTAGTAGTGTTTTTTTTTTTTTAATTTATTTATGAAATAAATTTGTGCTTCTTTTCTCACTGCTGTAAGAAACTATCCTTATATTGTTTCAGTATTTATCTATATTACTGTACTAGTTGATTCTAAATTCTGCTTCCTTCTAAACAGAATCCCCTGGGATCCCAAGTCAGATTTGGAGGAGTGTGTTACAAGCCTTGATCGGAATTAAAATATCTTTTTTACCATTTGTATTTCTCTATATTTTTTTCTTATTTTATTTCCAACAGCTTTGTATAATAGAAAAACAGTCATCTCAAAAATGTGTCATATATAAGATGACATAGAAATATTCTATTTGCTCGATGCTTGATACTTCAGGCCCTTAAAAGAGCAGTACTTGAGCCCAGCTTTGTGTAGGGAGTACTGGCGTGTTATATGAGATGATGATCCGATTCACGTGAACTGGAAAAAATGATATTCTTTCTCCCTCAACCCCCTCCCAGCCTCTGAGACTTTAAAGGAATACTGTCTTGGTCTGAGAGCAAAGAAATTTGTTAGCACTGAAGTGGTGCTGATGACTATGCTGATACTGAAACACAGTAGATGGCACTCTATGCACAGGATTCTAATAGCCTTTCACATTCACCCAACTGGAGGTAATAATTTCAAGTACATTAAAAAAAAAAATTACTCTTATACAAGGTTTTTCTTTTTTTCTTTCTTTTTTTTTTCAGAGAGCAAAAAGACCCAATCTTCCTGAGGGACAAAGTTACACAAAAACATTCCAAAGAACAGTTTGAGACAGCTCAAAAAATAGAACAAGAGTATAGCAAGTACTTTACAGGTTAGTATTTAATCAACATTTCACTAGGAACACAGTGGCAATTTAATCCGTTTACACTGCAATTCAAAAGATCCTATGTTCCTTCAAAGAGCACTTCTGCCTTCCCTTTTGGCAAACTTATGCTCTGGTGTTTTATTTTACCGGGAGAAGAAATCTCAATATATAAGTACTGTCCCTTGCTTTTACATGTTTTTGTTTTAGCATGCTGTGAATCTTATGACCTAAAGAGATTCTGAAAATGTTTTATTACAAGCCAGTAGTATTGGAAGTATGGTCCAGATAATTTGACACAGTGTCGTCAGGTTTATACCATGTGAGGAATAAAGTTGTTTTGTAATTGTAAAAAGCCAAAACCAAACCAGAAAACAACCACCCTCCCTGCAGTGTAAATTAATGAATAATTTGTGAGACATACTTTAAATCTTTCAAGAAGAAAAAAAATTGTCAAAGGTGTCTTGAGCATGCATTGTAACTTGGAATAATTAAATTCAACTTTAGAGGCCTTTTTAACATCTTCAAGTATATTATATGAATCTTGGATTGTAGTAAATACTGTATTTTTACCAGAGAAAGAAAACTGTGTTTGAAGACTGTCTCTGCTTATTTCAGAGCATATTTCCATGTGGTTCCACATACATTCAAAAGAGTGGGGATAAAATTCTAGCCATCTTGATGTGAAATGGCAACAAAACTTAAAAAGAAAAAAACAAACCAAAACAAAAAAAGCACCACTAAACCAGCCAAAACCCAACTTTTCATCCCCCGAACAATGGGATTCTTCCAGAAGCACTTTGAGGCATACCTGCCGAGTGCAAGGGGAGGGAAGGGGGATGTATTCAGTATAGAGCTATTTCAGCATACCCTGAGAGAAACTACACGGTCTCAACAAAATCAGTTACCTGGGATGTAATAGCCATACCAATGTTCATTTAAATGGTACATACTAGACCTTCACAGAACTTGACATGCGCATGGCCAGATTGCATCACCACGTGTTATCTTCTGTTCCTTGTGAAGTCATTTGTTGCATTTTAATTTCACCCTGCCAGTGAAAGCAGCACTCAGTCCAGGAGAGTCCTATGTGTGTCTTCTGACATGCCCTGTGGAAAGGGCCTCCCTCTGTTAGTGCCAAGTGCAGTGGACTCCAGCTGTCATCAACATTTCCAGATGCTGGTAGTCAGAGGGAATTGGTGTTCAAACTGCATTGACATTTAAGCTTGTTGAAATGATAATGTGCATAAAGTAAGCCTAGTGATAGGCACGTTGGACATGGTAGTTTCCTCTTGAAGCTATATGACACACTCGCTCAGACCTGGGCTCTGCCACTACTTCATGAAGTACATTTTTTGACTAATGACTCTTTCAAGTTGGCTTTGTTTCCTGTACCAGGTTGTGAGCATGGTGTTTAATCTGAATCACTTCCTCACTGCCATTTGTCATCTTTCATAGACCTTGTTGGTTGCTGCGTTCTGTATCCAAATTCACCTGACATCATTAACTGTGGTATATACCGCAGAGTCAAGTAATATTTTATGTGAGATCAGATTCTCTCTTTTCAAAAATGGAACTTACACCTTAAGACTTTCCATATTTTTCCAGCATTAGTGGTAGCTGAGGCCAGAGGCTTTGCTGACATATTTCTCAAGTCATGAAGTTCCTCAGTTTTTAAATCTTAAAGCTAATACATTCTCCTCTCCTGTGTCAGTGTTGGCATTTTACGTTTTATGACTGTTATGTTTAGCAAGGGTAGAATGCAAGGTGTTCATTTATCTTTTGAATTGATTTTCAGGGAGTTGCTTGCTGTTGGCCTTTTATTCCTTCAATGTAGTTGACAATAAGAATTGGAGTAGCAACTGCCGCTGTTTTATTTAGCTCAAGGATCTGTGAGCTGCCTCATAATTTACTTCTAATATTTGTAAATAGTGTCTAGTTGCTACAGCTATAGTCTCTGTGTATATTACCACGTAAATATAAAACTCCTACCACCACATGCTGAACTGAGAAGGTTTATTATAGCAGGTTCTGACCATCTTTAGGCTTAAACTTTGCCACCTGATGCCTCTGAAAATAGTACACGGAGGCCTCTAACAAAACAGTTGTCTTAGTAGATTATAGCCATCAGTTCTGCGACTTCCCTGGGCTGTTTTAAGAGTTAGCAGAAGAAACTGTGTATTGAATGCTTGGCCTCTTTGCTCTGTTTATTCTTTTTCTTGTTTTAATAGTCATGCATCTGGCAAATATTGAATTGGGTAGGTTAATTCTGATCTGTTGATAAACACTTTGCAGAAAAATGCAGAAGACTGCTCTTTGTAATTAGTCATAACTGTTTGTTCCAGTCTCATTCGTGGCGGGGGGGTTCTTTTTCTCCAGGCATTGTCCAGGGAGGAGCCCTTTCAAGCATTTGCACTCAGATTATGACAACTGTCGACCAAGAACAAAACAAAGTCCTGTGGATCCCAGCTGGCCCGCTGTAGACTTACTTCGTTGTGAAACTACTTTGCGGATGTAAATAACCAACTAACTTTCTATCCAATGGACTCTGTCCATTTCTGTCTTTATAAAGATATCCATAAGTGATTTCTGTTTCATGAAGGGGAGTGATAACACTGAACACACAAGGACCCAACGAGGCATGTGGGAAGGGGTAGATCACTTCACCGAGCTTGTCTCTTACGTCGTACATGTACACGTGACAGGTTGTCACGAGGGGTTGTGACCTGCGTGTACTTGTCCATGAGTAACAAATTTAACAATGCTGCAAAACCCTGTAGAATGACAAGTTTACAAAAACCTTTTCAAAGTATTTGGTTGTTGCTCTTTACTTGAATGTCTTTTGTTTTGTTTTTTTTTTAACTCTGTGTCCTTTCATTTAATGAGGTAACTCTCCAAAATGGAGTGAAATGTCTGAATATGAGTGAATGGTTTATGCACAATGTGACTCTTAATTGCAATTTTGACCATTTCTAAGCACATTGTTGACTTGACAACCAGGTAATAATGTGGGATTGAATCGGTACGTCTTGGGAGTAAGCTCAGAAGGAAGTACACTCCTCTACAGGGCAGACCACTGTTTGTATCCTGTCAAGACTTGTCTGTCAAAGATATTGTTTCTTGTTTTATGCATGAATCTAATATTTAAATGTCATAATATATCTGAACAATCCAACGCGTGTTAAAAAATAATAGGTTTTGGTTGTTGGGCCTGGATTAAGTACTGGTGGAGAAGAGTCATAAGCTAGGCCTAGCATGCTGTGTTCTGTCACTTTTAGATACTGTAAATATGGAAAGCTTATGTCGGTGCAATTTTGCAGGGTAATTCTTAAGCTTTGTACTTCAGTGTGTAGCATTCACATAGATCGTTTTTATTTAAGAGCAGCCACAGTTTTAGGGCTTGATTAAAAGCCTTTAGAAAGGTACTAAATTGTTAGTGTTTTCACTGTTGAAAAGTGATCATTTAGTTTCAGTTGCAATACTTATTTACCTATTGTACCAAACTCCATTGTATCAGTTCCCTTTTTGGTTTTTTGCACTTCTGACTCTGTGTTCGTCACACAGGTTTTGTACCTGTCTCCTCTGTCTCTTGTGCCATGTTTCTTGGGTACTGTATTTTAATTGTTTTTAAAATAGCATTTGAGTAGAACTGCTTCTCAGTCACTGTTCCTAACATTTCATTATGTAGGGTTTCTAGTTTTACACTGCAGGCTGTAGTTTTGCTTCTGTCTGCAGCTTTTTTAATTAAAAAAAGGGATTCTTCTTGCACAGTTCTTCAAATAAAGATCTGGTCCTAAATTTAAATTCTGTTTTACAGATGCTATTTTATAGTTCAAAATACTTTATATAGTATTTATATAGTTACATACTATATAGAGAGAGTATTTTGAACTATAATACCTATAAAATATATATAGTATTTTATATAGTATTA